AATTAGTTGAGCTCCCATGACACCCCCAAAAAACATCACAGTCTAGCTTTTAACTTAGTTTTGATACGTGTGTTTAGTTGTGTGTTTTTTTCTGGTTTCCAGTCTATCACAGAACTGCATAGGAGACGAGGGTGTGAAGACGTTAGCAGCCACACTGAAGGACCTGCCTAATCTGCACTGTTTAAGGTAACATCTGCCTACAGACTACAGAGGAACCTAAAAGTGGCACTTACTTTTGACCCACATAATTTCACTTCCCTCTTTATCTTGCTATTTTTTCCAGTGTCTACAGCAACATGATTTCTGATGAAGGGGCAGAGAGTTTAGCAGCTGTTCTCCCACACATGGCTTCCCTCACTGACCTTGAGTAAGACTTGACATTTTTATTCGGAATTGATGGCTAAGAATTAGGTTCTTATACATTTCTGTGTAAAAGGTTCTGTTTTAGCAAAGGTCTTCCCGTTTAAAAGACTGACAAAGTCCACTTACACAGGCAGGGACTGGGTGTGGATGGGAACTGACCACAAGACAACTCATTTGTTTGACAGTTATTTTTCTACATAGTTTCACTTAGTTAATTTTTTATATACTTTTAAGGTCCTTTTTTGCTTGCTGTTTGGTTATGTTTTCACTCACAGTAAGGCACCAGTGACTACTTAAAGTTAGGAAGGGGTCTTTAGCTTGTGATGAAAGTGAGTCAGTCTAGCAAGCTTGGATATCAAGGTGCTTCCATGGACTGTACAGATGTATTGCAGTGAGACGAGTTACGAGTTTAGTGCTAAGTAATGTACACATAATTTTAAAAATTACACTACAGCATGACAAACATGACTGAGAGGTGCGGTTCAGTCATTTGAATTAGCTGACATGATGACAGCAGACAGGAGGCCCAGGTTTGTAGGTGACGCTCACCTGTCAGTCAAAGTGGCCACACCCCTAAGAATGTATCACTTTAATATGCTGTGAAAGCTTACTTGCCCCTTCCTGACTTCTTAGTTTTTTGCATATTTATCACACTTAAATAAATATCATCAAACATATTTTGGTATAAGTCAGAGATAATCTGAGTAAATACAAAATGCAGTTTTTAAATGACAAAGCTGAGTTCAGTTTTACTACCCACGTTCAGGGCTGATTACTGGCAGACTTGTTGAATTACAAAGAACTTGTCGGGTGAAGTGAAGCAGGCTAAAAGATCTCAAAAAGCAACATCATCCCACAATATAAAGCAACAATTTAGAAACAAATTAATGTGAAAAAGGTTATAACGTCATTTCTAAGGCTCTTGGACTCCACTGCTTGCTTCTGCTTCTTATCCACAGCTTGAGAAAACTTAGAATAGTGATGAAACTTTCCAAGACCACATGAGTGACTCATCCAAGAGGTCACAAGAACGACATCTAAAGTGCAGGCCTCGCTTCCCTCAGTTAAGGGTGGAGTTCATAATTCATCAAAAAGGAAGGCAGTGGGCACAAAAAGCATCCATTGTAGAGCTCTGACTAAAGGCAGATGGATTTGGCTTGCGTTTGCCAAAACACTTCTTGATGATGTTTTGGGAAAATATTCTGTGGACTGACGAGAGAAAAGCTGAACTTTCTGGAAGGTTTGAGTCCCATTACATCTGCTTAAAAGTGACAGAGCATTTCATTAAAAGAACATAACATGGTGGTGGTAGTGTGATGGTCTACTTTGCTGCTTCAGCACCTGGAAGACTTGCTGCAATTGATGGAACCATGAATTTGGCTCTCTACCAGATAGACCTGAGGGAGAATGTCCAACCAGGAGTTCCTGGCCCTAAGTACATGCATCCTTTGGTTTTGCAGTAGGACGATGATCTGAAATACACTACAAAGTACACCTTCGAATAGCACAAAAAAATAAAGAATAAAGATTTATTAGCAGCCTAGCCAGAAGAGAGAGGGGGCAGCGACAGTCACTGTTCTTTCCTATCACTGGGATTTCTTCTAGCACGGTATCACTCGGGACTTACTCCGGATGGGCAGAGCTCTCAACTCTGCCTGCTGCTTTGCTGTGTCTCACCTGCACTATAGTCTCACAGTGAGAGGAGATAGGGTGGCGTCCTGCTGCCCTCCTCCGGTGTCCACTCCCTTGTCTCTGTCCTGCCAGGCCCTCTTGTTGGCCGTCTTATTTCCTCTGTGACCTCCCAGGTGTGTCCAATTAGTGATCAGGAGGGGGGTGGAGTCTCAAGTGACAAGTGAACAAATACATACAATAAAAACATGCAATAAAACCATAAGAATAAAACACTGTACATCAGGGGTCTCCAATCCCAGTCCACGAGGGCCAGTGTCAGGGAGGTTTTAGATCTCACCCTGAGTCAACACACCTGAATCACACGATTAGTTCATTACCAGGCCTCTGGAGAACTTCAAGACATGTTGAGGAGGTCATTTTTCCATTTAAATCAGCTGTGATGGATCAAGGACACATCTAAAACCTGCAGGGACACCAGCCCTCGTGGACTGGGATTGGGGACCCCTGCTGTACATTATTAAAAGATTGAAACTAATAGAACAAAGCAACACATGCAAAATAAAAAACACTCAGTTAAACTTGTCCATTCCACCTCGTGACATATGAATAGTTTTTTCCCTTATAAATCAAAAATAAATCACTTAAAAACTGCATTTTATATTTATGTAGGTTATCTTTGTCTTTGCCTGGTACAGTGGTCCCAAAGCTGTTTTTATACCAGGTTGTAAAAATGTTTATTTCTGCGATGAAGCATTTTCAAACAGAAGTTCACTGGGAATTCAAGTGAAAAGCAAAGAGCACTTCCACATTTTTTGCTACTTCTGCTTTGGTTTTATTTTTAGCGTTCATGTATTCATATTATAGACAAAACATATTGCGATGTCTGGATTTGCGCTATAGGCTTTTTTCTGTTAAAACACATCTAACTTCTGTCTCACTTTTCTTTGACAGCGTAAAGTTTAACAAACTAACAGATGTCGGCGCACAGAGCTTAGGAGCCAGCCTAAGAAACTGTACAAAAGTTAAGACTTTAAGGTGAGGAGCTCTTTCATGTTACTTCATCACACATCTTTATTTTTTCCAATTTTTTGTGTTTTTTTTTTCTTACCCTGTTTCATCTCATTTCATCATCCCAGGATGTGGAACCAGTGCATCCCCTTCGGTGTGCTTGAGAGACTCATTCAGCAGGACAGCCGCATCCTATTGCACTAAAATGCAATACCTCTCTACAAGCTTATGAACTGTTTTCATCATGCATCTCATGATGTATACTTAAATTGCACAATGCATTTTCAAACGTGTGTGCTTGCAAGGAAAGGACACAAACAAATGATTATGCGAAACTTGAGATTGCACTACAACTGA